CACGGCGGCCGACCGACCATCCGTCGGCCGCAAAACGGCGCTCAGCGCCAATAAACAATCTCACGCGCGGCGCGCATATCCGCCGCGCGCACATGTCGGCAACAACAATTGTTGTTGCCAAACACACACGTGGCGGAAAAACCGTACCGAGCGCGGTATAAAAGACCGCTCCGCCGCGATATCGACACCTGACTCCACCGAAGTCAGCCGGGATCGAAAGATCGAAGCTGCTCCGGATCCGATCCCCAGGTCGAGGGACAGCGACGGTGCGCACGCTGTCACCGCTGACGCCGCGAGCATCACCCAGCGGCCGCTCTATTTAGATTCCGCGAATACCGATACGCCGAAACACCGGCTAAGCCGTCGATACCACGTCACGACATAAACACGGGATTCCGTCGCCGATGCTGTCACCGCAATGTTTACCAACGATAAAAGACAGGATTAAAGCACGCCGCTAAGATCAAATTGTAAAGACAACGTGGGATAATTGAATAAAACGGCTGTTATCTGAATACTCACTCACTCACTCGCTCGTCCATCCACACTCATACGCACACGCACACAGAACAAGAACGCCTGGACGACCGGCGAGTTACGCCAGGGCCACCGACACCGGACGACCACCCCACCGGCCGGGGTAGAGCGAATGTCCACCGACCGGCGGGGCACGGGTCACAGTCTCTCAATTTACTTAATACTAGATATAACACTCGGACATTGTAAGCGGATTGTTGATTAACATCACACCTGCACTTCCATTTCCTTGGATGTGTCATCGTCGTTTGTATCAATCGTGGATTGATTGTCGATTAATTTATCCGCATCATTCTCCGCATTGCTTATGCACCCGTGAATCGATAAGAATTTTTCAACTTGCGGTTCCGCAGAAAATCCATAATATTGGGCGAGAAGGTCCTTCGTGAGATCTGACATGTTAAAGCCAAATGATGAATCTTGCTCGAGCGTACTCGAGAAATACGAACGATATTCGACACAACCGCAATCCCGTTGTTTACTCGTCACCTAGGTGATGTTTCAAGTCTCCCTCATTAAGTCCCAACCTTCTAGCTATCAAAATCTAAAATTATAAATCTAAAATTGCGTTGTATTTACTAGAAGTTCATTTTGAAGAAATATACTTGTGTCTTAGTCCTTAATTTTACAGAAACATCTAATTAACTCGGTCTTTTAATGACGTATATTGATAAAAACGACCTAATCTTTTTAAGTGAAATATTAGCAGAACCGTATCGTGACGTATTAACAATGGGAATGACAAGATCAAAATATTGTTATTTTAAACTTTATGTTTTAATAAGAGGATCAACAGAAGCGTTATATTTAAATACTTCAAAATGAGAGATTTCAAACTGGAAAATACTCAAACTAATTTCATTATTGTCATTCTTGTCCAAATTACATTCTGTTAAATTCTTTCTATTTCTCATGATCAATAAAAGTGAATTTTTAATTTTTTAAATAAGCAAAATTCAACGAACTTCGGGAAAAATTAACGGTAATAAAGTGATTCAAAAGCAGTTTATAGTTCGAAGTCTATAGTTTTTAGATATATATTTAAAATATAAAGTTAATTTCCCGAATATTATTATATCTAATTATATATTATTAATTATTATGAAAATTATATAAGCTAGGATATCTTGACAAGTACAAATTAAAATTTTTTATAGGAAGTGAATCCATTAAATTGGCGATCGTCTGACTTACTGCCTTACGTTGGTAATGCAGCGTGTTACTCACTGCGAAAAATCGTGGACATTGACATTGTAGTTTATGTTTATGAACATAGAGGCGCTTTGCATGTGAGGATCAAGTATAATGGCTTCTGCTCACGAGACGCGCTTGTTGCGCGACGGAATTTCGCGTGGCAGCCAATAAACTTCTAGTTCTTACCGAGAAACGGCATGTTGATTGGCTACCGCGCGAATTTCCGTCACGCGGCAAGTGTTGCCGCGTCCTGTGGACAGAAGCCATAAGCCTTAAGAAATTGACTAATCACAGTTAATTACTCTCATCACATTCAACCGTGAATGGTGAATTTCTTAAGGTTTAAAGTTTAAGCACCTATTGTAGACCAGGACGAAACAGCCAATCAAATCGCTCTAAGCTTTTACGTTACAGATGTTCTATTTTCTTTCCATGAGATCACAAATCATAGTCTAGTAGAGATAAAAATGTTCGGTTAGCTACACTTAAGTGCATTAAGTCTTGCAGTCTCGAGAGGATAGCCGAGTATTTCGGGTGTGTTTTCTGCGTATGCTGACTGAGACCTTTATTTGTCGTTGAGAGAGAGAGAGACTTGATGCGTTAGTGCTTCCAAAACCTGACAGTTCAAAACCCGACAGTCAACGACGTTGAAATGTCGGATTCAGAAGGTGACATTTGCGACATTTCGTAAATAAAAATAGCATTTATGGTAGCATGTAATATATGGAATTATATCATATGATAAAATTTGTAGCGGTTAGTGACGCGGGAAGTCCCGTGGGAAGATCGCGGAGTATCTCCCGTAGCAGAAGCCGTTCCAGCTCACGATCCAGGAGTCCATCCAGATCTCGTTCACGTTCCCGATCGCCGTCTGGGTAAATTGACATTTCTAACCTAACTGTATCATTTTATTCTTATAACATCTGGATCTGGATACTTTCTCTAAATTTCATATGTTAACTATAAGTTCCTTTTGTTTCTTTAATTAAACCTGCTGTGTGTTGAATATTTTGCCCTTCTGTGATTTAAATAGCGGTTTTTAACCTTTTGCTGAATACTGTTAATTAGTTATTGGCCTGTTCTTTTTAGCTAAACTAACTATACTAGTACACTTTCTCGGGAGCAGTACAGCTAGTTCAGCTAAAACAAACAGACCATACATTCTTTGTTGAGTTAGTTCGGTTGCACATCTATTGCATAAGTTACTCAGCCTATGCAAAGGCTGATATTCCTTGTGCAAGATTAAACTGTATCCAATACTAAATGCTTTTTTAGAAGTACCTATATGCATATTTCTCTGAATGAAAACAGCAATGATAATTTTATATATAGCTCTGAAGACGGAGACGCTAAGATAGATGAGGCAGAGGAAGTCAGATCGGATGACGAGGAAGCTGTAGAACCAGAGGAGGAACCTGAGGGTACAAATTGGAAAGCTTTTCAGTTTTTAACATATTCTAAAAAAATTTGATTCTACAGTAGATTTTCATGATTACAGGAGAAGATTTGGATAATAGCAGTGAATATGATGAAGAAGAAGATGAGGACGAAGACATGCCGAAAAAGAAGAAGAAAAAAGACAGATTTGGTGGCTTTATCATTGATGAGGCTGAAGTAGATGACGAGGTGGAAGATGATGATGAATGGGAGGAAGGTGCCCAAGAAATTGGTATCGTTGGAAATGAAGTGGACGAATTAGGACCAACTGCCCGTGAGATTGAAGGACGACGTAGAGGTACGAATCTCTGGGAGTAAGTATGAGGATTCTATAAATATAACATTAAATTCTTAACTTTGCATATTACTTTTGTCTTAATATGAGCAATTGTGTCTCTTATTTTTCTCAAGAAACACATTTTTTCTCAGTTCGCAGAAAGAGGACGAAATCGGGGAATATTTTCGAAAAAAATATGCTGATGAATCACTTGCCGCTCATCGCTTTGGCGATGGTGGTGAAGAGATGAGTGACGAAATCACCCAGCAAACTCTATTGCCTGGCGTGAAAGATCCAAACTTGTGGATGGTGAAATGTCGTATAGGAGAAGAAAAATCTACTGTGCTCCTATTGATGCGAAAGTTTATTACATACCAATTTTCGGGTAAGATGTATATTTCGAGGAAGCATCAACTTGTATTTGTCAAATTATATTCTACTCATCTGCAATGATTCTTGTGTTTTAAAATTTCAGGAGAACCTCTGCAAATCAAATCTATCGTGGCACCCGAAGGTGTTAAAGGATACATTTATATAGAGGCTTTCAAACAAGCACATATAAAAGCCGCTATTGAGAGCGTTGGAAGTCTGAGAATGGGTATATGGAAGCAGCAAATGGTGCCGATCAAAGAGATGACGGATGTGTTACGCGTTGTCAAAGAGCAGACCGGCCTGAAAGCCAAACAGTGGGTTCGTTTGAAGCGGGGCATTTACAAAGACGACATAGCTCAAGTGGATTATGTTGACTTAGCGCAAAATCAGGTGCATCTGAAATTATTGCCGAGAATCGACTATACTCGACCGCGTGGTGCCTTAAGAACAGCGCAAAGCGAATCTGAAGCTCTGAAACGCAAGAAGAAGAGACGACCACCGGCGAAGCCGTTCGATCCTGAGGCAATCCGCGCCATTGGTGGAGAAGTGACCAGCGACGGAGATTTCCTTATATTCGAAGGAAACAGATACAGTCGTAAAGGGTTAGTTTCTTATCATATCTCTTGGAAACACGTCGAAACACGTGTAAGATCTTGGTCTAATTTCCTATATTAACCATACTTCCTTTCATACAGATTTCTTTATAAAAATTTCACCACAAGTGCTATTATCGCGGAAGGTGTGAAGCCTACACTCTCCGAATTAGAGAGATTCGAAGAAGCGCCGGAAGGCGTTGAAATAGATTTAAGCGGAACGCCAGGAACTGGGGTTTCCGGGAAGGAAGATCAAATCACTCACTCCTTCAGCAACGGAGATAACGTAGAAGTATGTGAGGGTGAATTGATCAATCTACAAGGAAAAATTGTCTCTATAGATGGAAATATGATAATGGTCATGCCGAAACACGAAGAACTCAGAGAAGCTTTGGAATTCCAAGCTTCTGAGTTGCGAAAATACTTCACGATGGGCGATCATGTTAAGGTAAATTATTGAGTGATTAAGTAAGAGTTCGCGCGATCTTGAGATATACATATTCATAAGGATCGCCTAACATTACTATTCTAATTAATCGGCAGGTTGTTGCAGGGAGGTACGAGGGTGACACCGGTTTAATAGTCAGGGTAGAACAAAATAGAGTGGTTTTATTCTCTGACTTGTCGATGCACGAGCTGGAGGTTCTCCCTAGGGACCTACAACTGTGTTCGGACATGGCAACGGGCGTCGACAGTTTAGGTCAGTTCCAATGGGGTGATTTGGTGCAACTTGACGCGCAAACGGTCGGCGTTATTGTTCGGTTGGAACGCGAGAATTTCCATGTGCTCTCCATGCATGGAAAAGTGGTCGAAGCGAGGCCGCAAGGTCTCACGAAGCGTCGAGAGAACAGGAACGCGGTTGCTCTGGACTCGCAACAAAATACCATACAAAAGAAAGATATCGTTAAAGTTGTGGACGGGCCACATGCGGGTCGAGGTGGAGAAATTAAACATTTGTACAGGAGCTTCGCTTTCTTGCATTCACGAATGTTCGTCGACAATGGTGGCATTTTCGTATGCAAAACCAGACATCTTCAGTTATCTGGTGGGACCAAAACGAACGCGACAACTATGTCGGTAGTCGCTGGATTTATGTCGCCTAGAATTGCTTCTCCGATGCATCCCAGCGGGTTAGTGCCTTTTATTATCTATTCGTTGTGTCGTTTGATGATCCTCTGCTCAATCTCTTAAAATAGATATGTAAAGATAATTTAAATTATTAATTTTTATTGTGGCAGTGACATTACTTTTTGATCTTAATATAATTCGTCGACTTCTCAATCTCAAATCTATCACTATTTTTTTATTATTTATTTTTATTTATTTATTATAATAATTATAGGGGAGGCTTCGGTAGAGGGGGTGGAAGTGGAAGAGGCAGAGGTCGCGGTGGCGGTGCGAGACGCGACAGAGAAATAATCGGGACCACTATCAAGATAACGGGCGGGCCTTACAAGGGCAATGTCGGTATCGTGAAAGACGCGACGGAGACCACGGCGCGAGTAGAACTGCATTCCACATGCCAGACGATTTCCGTGGACCGATCTCATATTGCGAATGTCGGTGTACCGACGAAGGATGGTGGATTCAGCAGTTACAACAGAACTCCGGCGTACGTAGCGGGTGGACAAACGCCGATGTATGCCAGAGATGGATCCAAGACGCCTATGCATGGCTCTCAAACACCTATGTATGAAAGTGAGTAGTTCTACGAATTATATATTCCAGATTACAGGTTCATCCGTGGTCAGAGAGAATGCAAACGTAAAGCATCGTCTATATATCTTCTCACTTCTCCTCTATCTCTGAAATAACAGTCTTTAATGTACGGGTTTTGTCTTTTCTAATGTTATAGATGGCTCTCGTACTCCTCATTACGGTTCAATGACGCCGTCTCACGATGGTTCGCGAACACCCGGCCAATCAGGAGCCTGGGACCCGGCTGTCACAAATACGCCCGCCAGAACGAACGATTTCGATGGCTACAGTATGGAAGAGGGTGGGTCCCCCAGCTATGGGCCCGGATATCCTGCTACCGGAGGTCCGTTCACTCCGCAGACCCCGGGCACCATGTACGGTTCGGAACAAAGCTTTAGCTCGTATCAACCAAGCCCTAGTCCTGCTGGAAGTGCCACTGCAAGTCCAAGTCCTACGGGTTATGTCGCCACTCCGTCCCCAAGTGGAACTGGGTATACCACGAGCCCACAAGGAGCATTTGCGACTCCGTCTCCCATGGGCTATAGCCCCATGACACCTGGTAATTATTTGTTAATTGAAGTAAATGAAAAGATATTTACACGTGTCATCTTTTTCACAATGAGAAGTATATTATATAAAAAGAATATTACATAAAAAAGTTACCGTGCAAATATTTCTTTTATCTACTGTACGTTGATCAGTATTTATTCATTTAAATATCATAATACAATCCTGATCTTAACGGAAGAGGGGACATTTTCGTGAATTTCCATGTAACAGTAACTTTTAGTAAATTTATCGCAGCATCAATGTAATAAATATTGTAATCGTTATATAATGTGAACTTAATGATTAATTTATAGCGCAAAAAAATAATTGTCTATAAAATTAATTTAAAAAATTATACATAAATTTCCACATTAATCAATTGTCGTTGTGACAATTTCGTAAATCTATATAGAAGGTTTCAGAAACAGATGCAAATTCAATGGGTCGAAGTTAATTCTTTGTTTCTACATACAACATGGTTACGAGTTTTAATTTTAATTACAGGGAGCCCGTACAATCCACAAACGCCTGGCGCAGGATTGGATACAGGTATTGGTTCTGGTGTCGTAGGCGGCTCCGAATGGCATACAACGGATATTGAAGTACGCATTCGCAACTCCCAAGATGATCCTGCGCTTGCTGGTCAACAGGCAATTATTCGTGGAATTTCGGTAAATTGCCTTCTTAATACAATAGCTTTTATCAATGAGATATCCAACTTTTTTTAATTATAGCGATGTCTATATTTACATGTATATATACGCATTTTGATAAACTTACCGATTTCTGATAATGAACTATTTTACTCGCAGGGCGGCATGTGCACCATTTACTTACCTACCGAGGACAGAGTCGTGAATTTAGGCTGTGATCAACTGGAACCTGTGGTGCCGTCACGCGGTGATCGAGTGAAAGTAATTCTAGGCGAGGACCGAGAAGCCGTCGGCACTTTACTCTCGATCGACAATCAAGAAGGAGTTGTTAAGCTCAATACGGAAGAGATAAAATTTTTACAGCTACGATTTTTGTGTAAAATGAAAGCTGCTAACACGTAACTTTCTCAATACTTTTTACACACACACACACACACATATAAACTATGTACCTAAAATTATTATTATTATTATTTTATATAAACAAAAGCATCTAAGGAAGGAATATTTACGATATGATGATACCGAACAAAAAGGATATGTTATGTTCTTGTTGAAACTTTACAATGTTTACTTTCTGAGTGACTAGATCATATTGCAAGCAAAAAACTATTAAAACTTTCAATTATGGTCTATATATCTTTTAAATAAAGTTCCTGGTCTCGCTGCAACTTGTCTTTGTTCGATGACGTCAGAAGCGAGAAGACGTATGTCAAAAATTCTTGCGTTATTCGTTCAAATAAAAAATATAGCCACAAAATGATGATTGATTTAGTATACTTGTAAAATTGTTCGAACACTTTTACTCTAACGTTGCAACATTACTCGCGAGCGGATGAGTCGCGCAGTATGGCCGATGACGTATCCCGCGACTCCCAGAAGCAACCGTTTTCGTCTGAATGGTGGGCAACCGGGCTGGCAATCGCGCCGATAGGCGCTCCTGTGTTACAGATCACGTGGATGTAGCCTCCATCGAATCTTCAACATTATTATTTGTACGACATGTCTAAGGAAGTACTAACTTTTGGAGGAATAAGCAAAACGCGGAAAATTTATGTAAATTACTACTACAGTGACGTACAAATCGATGGATATACAAATTGTATTCTTTAACATTCAGTGTTCACGTATTCATTATGTATGTTTTAATTTTGTACGATGTAAATAAACGTAATACATTATTTGGTGCGTTCACATCAGCTGAGTGACAACGGATACTGGCAGTTTTTGTATTTATACATTCTGAATGAACGATAACAGTCATAGTATCTGCAAATTGACACTGAATATTTTAGACAGTATAAACTTATGTTATATGAATAAAAGTATTATACAAAAGATGTGTTCGTCTTTTGACATTAATTGAAATAAATAATCGTTGTCAAATTGTATATAAATATTTAAGAAACATGTTTAATTTATCTCTAGAAAATGTATATTGTACATAAAATGTTATAAAATATTATAAATAATTTAATGCAAGTTTCCCCCATATTATAACGTCATATGCATATATTTGTAATATAATGCATATTTTCAATACATAAATTTTGTAAACTAAATAGCATTACATCGTAAGGTACCTTGTTACATAATGTAGAAGAAAATAATATTATAATGTAAAAGATATTAAGAATATGTATACTTATAAGTAAACTTGTAAATAACAAGATGTATTTTAATATCATATATTTTATTTAATGGATTTTCCTTGAGTTTTTATGAGCGGAAAATCGAAATTTTTTAATTTTTTAAATAATTTCAGCATAAAAAACGATAAGAAGCTATATCTGAAGTTATCGTTTTATTACCTCGAAATAATGCGAATGACAGAAGCGTGATACTCAAGAGATAGAGTAACGTGTGCGAGTCGTTGAGAGGCTTGCCAAAAATGTTTAAGAAATCCGTGAGAAGAAAATCACACGATTAACCACTTGAGACTCTCGTTTCGGAGTATGAACATATGTTCTTTATGGTTCCTCTTGGTACTTGTAGGCTGCATCTTCAGTAAAAGGTACTTGGATTACTGTATACGCTAAGAGCACATACATCGTTTAATCGGCGGTTAAATGTTTTCATGATCGTTCAATCGCACGATATCAATCCAATAACCGGATAAGTGATCATTTCTGTTTTAAATTATAAAAGATGGATCTAACAAAATATACAGTTTAGATGAACTTAACATATTAAACGCAATCTTTTCTCGCCGGTTCATGTTTTCGATATAATTGTGTTTCGTTACAGGATAACCAGTGCTAAATCTCCTAAACGTGATCAGAATGTCGGTACCGTTTTATTTGAGAGAAATGATTATGGAAAGCAATGCTGGACTAGCGAGGAATTTGCCATTCTTAGCAGCCGAAGGATATTCCAAGATATTTTGCCCGAGGTAAATCCAATTACCTTCCGACAATCCTGCGTCTGCGCGAACTGTACTACGAGAGTCGAAGTCGCGGAATCCTATTTGTATGAAACAAAAATCGCGAAAATTAAACTTCTCTTACTAGTACGCGTTCTTCAAGCCTAGTTTTAAATCAAATTTTATACTGACAAGCATGCAAAAGAACAATAACTTCACAATGCAATAATTTTTACTTCTTTTTGCTGGGGGCTCGTGTGATTTGATTCGCTTCCGTTCTCGGCTCTTCACTTTCCCACAAGGAAAAACTAATATTTGGATTTTTCAATGGTATTAAATAAAAATGATGGTCCAGATATATATAATATATATATTATATTATATATATCTGGACCATCATTTTAATATTATATAGATTATATACCCAATAATAGTGTGAAATAATATCCTATTATATATAAGATGCATATAATAATTATTAAATAATGTCAGTTCTATTTAATTAATTATACGAATAAATATAACATACATAATTGTATACATAAGTACATAATGTTGGTCTTTCCTATACATACACACACACACACACACACACACATACAACAAACAAACAAACTCACAAACACACATGTAGGCAATAACGGAAGCAAATATTGAAGGATTTGCAAAGAGGACTTTCTAAGATTTTCCCTCCGTCAGGTGAAAGTTATCGATCCGCAAAACGATCAGTACATAGCGCACCTCATGGACTATTTTCACACATGTCTCGAGAACGTGCGGAGGCTGTCCGTGGGCAAAACGAAGCATCTGATGCTGAAAGCTCTGGCTGACACACTGGGCGGTTACTTGCGGGTCTACATCCTGCCTCTCACGAGACATTCCTATTACGCGGGGAATATCAAATATCGCAACGCGAAGATGCTGTTCGAGCTCTTCGACGAGCTGAAGACCTTCTTGCGAACGAACGGTGCCGGCTGGTCGAAACCCAGCCAAGACGTTCGGAACGTCCAAATTCCGCCCATCACTATCACGCCGCCGAAAACTTCGCTCGCCTGTAACGGACTCATCACATATTCGGCGCGTAAGTTGATTCGTCGCGATCTAAAGGAATCTTCAAGAATAAATATACGTTTTCTCAAAGATCTTGTCATTAAAATCGTTGCTTTTATCAAAACGATTATCGCGAACAACGATATCGATGTAACGAAGATCTTCACAATATTTGGGATAATGAAATAATTTGTTGATTTTATTAGTTAAATAAGGCTTTTATACAATTGTGCTTGTATATCTCATGTGTTTTACAGCTTTTGAACGCCATAGCGGGGATTACCGAAGCTTCACGTTCAAGAAAAAGAAACGTTCTACAGTGAAACGGGGAAACGCGAAACGCGCGATTAATGGTGAGAATCGAGGAATGTATTTAAGCTTCTTCATTCGACGCTGGTATATTATTGTAATACTCCTCGTGTTTAATGCTTTTCGAGTCAAGTTTGTACTTTACATTTTCCGCGATATCATAATGTTGGATACTTCTATTCCGCACGACGAGATAATTATAGTTACCGTGAAATTTGCGAGATGTTATTTGTAATTAAAAAAAAGACGAGCAGTCATATATAATTTTTTAATTTTATTTTGATTTTTTACACCGCAGATCAATTTTGACTATTATCAGCTCTTTGCTTTTTGAGAATTATGAGACTCGTGACGATGTAAACTATTTATCTTGATAAGGATACAATAAGGAAACCGCGGCGGATGAGATCATAATACCACTCCCGTTCCTCGATAACGAAGTGGAGCCCAACAGGTAGTTACCAAGTAGCGATTCGTAAGAACGTCCCGGCGATCGAGTAGTCTCAACGTATATTTTTGACGCAGCATCGCCCTGCCCTTCAAAACAGACAGCTTGCAGTCATTGTACACGGAGAAGTCGGCTTTCGCGCTCGTCAAATATTACATTGTCAGCGCGAAGTGCATCGCCTTGCGATCGAACACGAGAACGCAGTCGCAGACGTTCAACAAGGACTTTCACAGCTGGTTGCGACAATCCGTACGTTGTGAGTTGCTGCGGCTGAAAAAACGTAGCAAAACTCAAAATGCGTATAATTGCAGAGCGACGAATCGTGTAACTGACAAATAAATCGAAATTAATCGTTCCGTGCAACAAGAAAAAAAAAACTCAGGAATAATGGAGAGAGAAAAAATGAAAATTTTATACGTTACACTAAAGCGAAAAATAAAAAATAAACACACACGTCCTATTGTAGATATATTAGCAAAGGTAAAATGTGACAAAAACCACTGATTTTATTTTATTTTATTTATATTTTCTGTAAAATGGTTTTTTGATTACTTTTTGACGATTTTTCCGCTTTCCGATTGTCGGCACGTTTGTTTGGTTGATTCCGTAATGAATTCCGAGCGAAATAATACATGAAAGCATCGTTTGCATTGCAGGTACTTCGACACCTGGACGACGAGAAGTGGTATCCGGCATTCGGGGGTGTTCTGAGAGTAATGGCTACCTTGCGGGAATCGAGTAATATTTCATGATAGTCTCGCTGCCTGTAATTCGTCGTGTTTGAAAATTAACGGGACGGGATATACTATTCCGTTTAAGCGTCCACATAACTAAGAAACTGCAGCAGCTTTTGAAATATTTCTCTGACTGCGCGCGAGGTTCACGTGTGATCTCATCGCGTGCTTTCGAGGCGAATGAAATATAAATATCCATTAACCCTCTCTCTCTTTGATGCGCGCTTAAATATGCCTCTCATAATATTTTTATATGTGCAATTTTAGGAAATTTTACTTTATTTTATAATCACGAAATTATGCCGGATGAGAAATACGATGACCTCAGTTTCGTCTGATAAAGTAAATGTCGAAGTGCGCAGCTGAGAATATCTGTTAATTACGAATCACGAAATAAAAGAATACATATTCAATATCACATGATCTCAAATGCAGATCATTTTGTATCTTAATATGTCATCTTTGGGTCAGGTGAAGATATGACGAAGAGCAAGACAAGCGGGGCTTATCAAATGATGCCGAAAGTAACCACAGGACGTAAGAGTCACACGGATGAGAACCTGTCGTCACTTTACAAAGGAAAAGGAGAAAGTAGGTTGCTTCCTCGTAAGATAACATGCGATTTTCGCACACGTGCATGATTCATTTTTACCGGCCAAGGCATATTCACTACTTCAACTCGTATCGATTAAGATAGTTGCATCGTAGAGCATCGGATTTTCAGTGGCGATATCAAGAGGCCTCTATATAAGTTGATTATTTACTGAAAAGAATACTTTCCTATAATTTTATGTAACTATCTTTTCAGTTACGAATATCTCGGCTTTCGAATGGCCAATCGTTTTCTAATTGCGTCAATAATTAGGTCGTATTTAAGTATATATATATAATGCAAGTTTCAACGAATTCTTAAAAAAACTTATTTCATGTTACAACTACTTGAAATTCAGACGATGACAGCACGAAGACGCTCGGAACCACGGAGATCGTGATCATAGCAGTGGTGTCCGCATTGGCATTATGGTTGCTGGTGGGTTTGTGCTTGGTGTGCTATAGATTCCTCAGCAAGGACCCAGAAAAATGTTCACCCTGTGAATCGAAAACCGCTCCGTGAGTGTAACGTTCGCTCACATCTTTTCTCTTTTAAGCTTAATACGCCGTTCATTTTCAAATCGCGTCGCAGCAACTCGCAATCGAAGTCTCGCAATTTCTCTCTGTGATTCTCCGTCTCTCTTCTCTCTCTCTTTCTCTATCTTTCAATCCGCGTGGCGATTTAGGTTTGCGCTTCTGTACAAAAATACGGACTATTGTGAACCGGATACGTGCCCTTCGAGATCGTCGCGAACGGGTGTAGTTGAAAAATTGAAGGAATGGTGGAGAAGCAGGTTTGGTCGATGTCCAGGAGGATGTCAGAAGCACGAGGATGAGGAACGTTGCTTAGCCGCGATCAATTACTGCAGCAGGGACACCGTCGGCAACAGCAGCAGGATTTACCCGTGGACGTATATTTGGTTTCCCGTCTCTATTTTGTCCGCTTCGTGAAATAATTTTGCCTTTCCCTATTGACGTATGTGCATTCGATTGAGCGGTCTCGCAAACACGATGATTAACGAGGATGCGTCGCTTAATTCTGAACACGTTTCTCTAACGATCAATTACCTGATTAACAGGAAGAAGAAATATACTAAATCCACCTCCGCGTTTCCAACAGGATCGTTCAGAAGTCGCACGTCTTCTAAAGTGAGTTACTGTAACATTATTCTTACTTATTCATGCAAACAAAATTAATGAAGACAATCCTGTACCATCGGTATATTTCTCGAACTGTGGCTTCATAGTCCTGCAGTTTCGAACAGTTAATCCTAGCAAACACCAATTAACAGTAACATAACAATGTTACAATTTCCCACTCAACAATGTAAATACAGTATAATGCGTGTGTCATGTAACAGTTGCATTGCTGAGTGGGAAATTATAACATTGATATTACGTTACTGTTAGTTGATGTTTGCTGGGTAGAATCTAAATTAAGCGATTTATTTTAATTTAATTTATCACATAACATTTGGTTTATAATCATGTATTTTATTCGCAGCATAATAGCATTCGTTAGCTGTCTTCCGAAGGAAGATCGCCTACGTATCTCCATAATCCAGCCAAGCCGAGAGACAATAATTCTCAACCAAAAAATAACTTGAAAGAACATATAAAGGTATGCTTGTTTTTAAGAGAGATTTGTAAACTTAGCATATACCTGGATTAAAAAAAAAAGAATAAAAGTTAGCAAACATAGGAAACACTTCTAGCGCCAATAGTTTGAGAAATTGTGTGAGTGGAGGAGAATCCGCGGAGATTTCGATAACTCCCTGACTTTGACTAATGACGCAAAAATAGTTTCCACTTCCAGGGCTGAAAACAATCATTCAACTGTAACATCAAAGTTCCCGGGAACCAGCCGCTCGCGGGGAGGAAGAAACCGCGAAGACTGTTTTACTTCGCGCCCGGTACTGTCGGGCCATTAATTTAATTTCATACCAGTCAGCCGGCCGGCCGCCGAAAGCGCATCTCGCGCTTCGATCGCGCTCCGTGCGCACTCGGAGTGTTCGCGCTGCGCGGCTTCTTCCTTGCCGTCGCGGGCGGCAAACTGCAAGTTGCGGTCTGCAACTTGTTGCAAGCTGGACGAGGACGAGCGGCACGAGACGCCGGCAGGAAAAGAGGAAGAAGAGGGCGAACGGGGTCGGATCGGCTGAAGCGACGGCGCGCAGCGCCATCTTGGCGCTCGGTCGAGTTGGCGCGCGCGCGCGCGTCTCTCTCAGGAGGCGCGGAGTCGCGCGAAGGACGCGACCGGCCGGCAGTGTCGCGCGACAACTCGAGTGATGCGTTACGTTTCTCCGTCTGGCGGACGTGCGCGAGAGTGACACGACGAGCGTTCGGCTGGCGAGACGCGTCGATCGCTGCCACAGGCGGGAGAGAAAGAGAGCGCTTTTGATCGGACGACCTCCAAGGAGTCATCGTTGGTGGACGCTTCGAAAATTCGCTCGTCTTGCTCGCGCGTCCCCGGCACGGCCGGTGGGTGACAGCGGACTGTCACGGTGACAGTTGTTGACGCGCGATGTGGCGTCCCACGTGCGCGATGCCGAGCGTGAATTTCGCGCGAGATCAGCCGGCGGACGACGTTTGAACGGCCGTGGTGGCACGAGAAGCACGAGAAGATTCCGTCTCGCGACGCACGAAACGGTCATGTGAGCGCTATTTATGCGTGACAATCGCGGTAATATCTCGTTGTCCGGGGCGATACGCGCGAGCCGGAGCGGTACGATCGTGACAAGGACAGAATCGAAGCGGGAGAATCGAAGACGGTTCTGGACGCGGCTTGTTTTGCCGAGATAACGACGAGACGAGCGGACACGCGGATGACGACGGACAGCTCGCTTCGAGTCGCCGATTCGCGCGCGCATGCTCCATTTTGAAGTTTCGATAATCGTAAGCGTAGCGCCGCACCGAACTTCAGTTCATTCGCGTCGGGCGGTCGGTTTGCCATTTATTGGGCCTTTCTTGAATATGCGCGCCGCAGCGGGATCAACGCGTTTTCTCGTGTTCGCGCGCGTCCATCGCAATTGACTCTTGTGCATTCTTGTGTCTGCGTCGCGGGGCATCATGGCACGAAGAAACCACGGCCTGCTGTGCACGTTGTTCTTCCTCCTGCTCTTCGCGGACGTGTTAAAAGGTAGGATCCTAACTTGGCATTTTCGCGCTCGACGGGAAACGCCGGTCGAGGTTAGGTTAGGTTAGGAGAGTTAATTAAGCTTGCTGTGGTAGAAAATCGCATGACAATGGGGTGTTCAGAAGATCCAACGGTTGCGCAACCGTTGAGTGATCTCGTCACTTTTGATTCAGGTATTTTCTTAGAATTGTGGTATATCAAAGGAATATTCCAACGACAGTGAGCGCTCACTCAACCGTTGCGTTTTCTGAACGTCGTTAATGAAATTTTGTAACTTCGAACACGTTTCGTAACGTAAGTTGATTTCTCTATGATAGCTTGAGTTATAATTGTCCAATTAACCCTTCGACCGCACACTTCTGAGAAGTCGCTCATACCGCAAAGAGGATCATATTGATCCTGTGCGATTCTCTAAATTTCATATCTGAAAAAAAAAAACTAAAAGAAAAGAGGTTGATAAAATTCTAGAGTAAAGTGTGACTCTTCAACCTTAACGTTTAATCATACATTTATAGAAAATTAAATTTCAAGTTATTGAGAACAATTCAAATTTGGACAATCTCGCGAATGATGGTGTTTTACTTAAAGAAATCGTAATTTCTTTATTCTTTATTATTTTGATGTGCAATTGGGTGATGAAGTTGGAAGATAGTCGTAACAAAAATAAAATCTGACTTTAGTGCGTGTTCGAAAAACATATTTTTTTAGACTACTGAAAAGTGGATATTTAAAAATGTCGAAAACATGTGTTTTTATGGAAAGAAATATTTTTATTGTGAAAATATCAAAAATAGTTTCTGTTTTATTTGCAAAATAGTAACACGCATCGTTTAAAAAAATAATAAATGATTTAAGATCACTTTTTGCACTTGGGTAGGTTGTGTAAGTCACACGCCATCTGACTCTCATATAACACTATTATCTATTATTTCCAAAAAAAAGATACGCGTAATCACAATGTTTACGTAGGTTCACGCACAAATTTTCACCAAAAATAATCGCTTTTGGCGTCGAATTATACACCGACCGTACACTATGGATTTAATTGACCCTATGTCAAATTTGGATGACTCCTAAACACACATTAATAGGCTTATCAAGTCCGCATCACGTTTAATGGACAGAGCGATTCTTTAACGATTTTTCGGGTGTGGGTAGTTCACGCACTTTTCTTCGCTAAGTTCTTCAAACACAGTTCAGCGGGCTTATCTGACCTTTAATGTGATCGAAGGGTTAATAATATACAATGTACAATTATTAACTCCTTGCGACCTATGAGATTTCAACAAAGGAGCATAGAAATGAAAATTCTCACTTATCAAGCTTATTTTAACAGTTAACTCTCAATTATCTATTCTCAAGATATCAATTTAGTTACATATTTCAATTTAATTATGTTGAATTATCGACATTTATTTCGAAGCCTACAAATGATGTCTTGAATAACTTTAACATTCTTTCAACATTCTCTATAAAAATCTCTAAAACTTAAAATGAATTCTGATATTATCGTATTAATGTCTTAAATATTTTAATTTATTAAAGATATATCCGCGTTTTCGTTTACTTATCATAAAAGTAACTAACGTTGTAAAGTAAATCCAATAGACCGGCGGGCGGTATTTCTAAATTCAAAATTGATGACTGAAGCAATCGGAATTTTTTAATTTTAAGGATTAAAGAACAATAGTAATATTATTAATAAGAAACATGCGCCTCATTACTTCGTATTGCGATGTTTGCTATTCATTTTGCGTGTGGCTTAATCGAAAAATATCTCGTTAAAAATACGATGAAGCAAACGTTTAACTCAAAATTTACGAAACGCAAAATTTGTCAAAACGGCTTGGAAGTACTTTTATAACTTCTATTCTTCTTCATAAACATTCAACAAGTGGCGACAGCTTCATTGGCTCGTGCGAGTTAAGTTCACGAATGCCTTTCAGATCGCTCGAACTCCAGCGATGACTTCCCGTCGTAAAATATCGAACTTTACAACACTGATGCAAAATGTTACACATAGTGAACTTGTCACTTACTCTATATACTTTGTACAACACAGTTTACATATTTCCTTGGTCTATTGAGTAAATATTGTATATTTAAATGAATTGCTTTTGCAATATGCGCGTCAATCAATTAGAAATCTAGAAGTTTTGAAATTAGAAGTTTCTATAAAAATTCATTAAAATAATTATAAGCATTAGGAATGCCATTTTTTACGTCTCTCATCGATATCTTATTTTGTAGACATTCGCGGTATTATTAATCTATTATACAAATCATTATTTTAATCAATCGTTATTTTAGGCCAACCCTTTGACCGATAAATTTCACCTCGCGTGCAAATTATTGTTGTGTATTATTAACCAATAAATTCCGCACGCCTGCAGCGTTTCGCTGTACTGAAAATTCATGAATGAACGAGAGTTTCGAATTATCGGTTAAAGGGTTAGAGTAAAGTTTCTCAGGTGGAAGGGAAGCGCGAGAACTTTCGTTTATCTCGGCGAGATAACTAACAGAGCGCCGGGCAATAAAATATCATCGACCCGTCGTTACTCGATACATACCACGTGGATTTTGTCCGTACGTAATAGCAGACGTTTCAGCGCTCGCAGACGCTGTAATTTGTAAACGATTTAAAGCATTTCACGCTCTGTTAGGCGAAGTAATGGGCTCACTTTTAATTACCGTCTAATGTACTATTACCGTCTCCCTTGACACCCACTCCGGACCGGTAACAAGCAACGCTTTTCATTTACGGATGGTTGAGCCCGCGAGAAGTGAATTCTGCGACGCTGTCGGCAAGACCGTGCCAGTTTTCCCTTCCTTATTTCCTACTCTACGAGGCTAATAGTTAAGGTCACGTTCCGACGTGTTCGTCGAGGAAAATTTGGGCGCTGAAATTAAAACCCGGGAGGCTAACGACGCGGACTTGTCTTAAAGCGTAAGTATAGAGATGGACGGCATTGCGAAAATTTCTGTTTTGACTCGGTACTTTTCTGCAAATCGGAACGAAACGCTTGCCATGAAGAGCAATAGGTTTCACCATTTTTGAAAATATTTATTATGCGGAAACAATGCCAGTTGATCTCTTCGAGCGATACTAACGATACCATATTTTTTCTTTTTAATTAATGAAAAATGGCGCAGCATTTCATATAATGTGAACATTTATCGAGAGTCCAAATATAAAATCGTCGACATACGTTTTTCTATTTCGATTATCTTTTACCGCGGTATCGTGTTTGCGCTATTAATTTAATCACGCGATAACGTCCAATTAAATTAACGCACGGTTGACTGAATTCCGCGCAATATTATAACCGCAACCGCATACGCTCACGCGCGCGTCTCTATTATATTTCGAAACTGAATAACTGAATAATACATCGTAAAACACGGTACCGCGTTATAGCCGGGTTAGAGACAGTTTCTCTATCTACGATCGCGGACGGATTTAGAGAGAGGAGGGAAGTGTGTTCGTAGAAATTCTTTTGACATCGACGCGCGCTAAATTCGTAGATTATCGTCGCCGGCTGGAGACCGCAGCGAGGTGCCGCGACGGGTCTCTTTCTTTTCCTTTTTTCTCCCGGCCGCTTATTTATGCGTTCGGGCTTCGAGAGGCGCGATTTTATTGGCTTGTAAATAACGGATATTATGCGCGGCGGCGTATCCCCACGTTTAAAGACTCCATCGGACGTTATTTAGAGCTCAAAAGCGAGGCGTGACGGTACGGCGAAATATCATGGCGATGATTCCGAGGAGACGAGCGTCAAGAGGGGCGAGTGAGGAAGAATTCTTTTGTCGCTGGTCACGCATCTCTTTCGGGAGCTCCATGGTAATGCGTTATTGCGCCGATAATTAACAAGTCGACTCGTTCCATTGTCTCTGTCTATAATTTACTTCAATTCTCCGAGCGATCGCCCTGATTTATGTTATTACGCGCTCGTCAATGCTCATTCTGCGCGCAGAATATATTTCTCCTTCATTGACGGACTTGTGAAGTTATGAGAAAGCGTATAACGTTAGAATCCGTTCGCTATCGCACGCTATATGCTTTATCGCGTGATACTTTGCATTCTTGCAATATCCGACGTAGAATTAGCATAATCGTTAAACGAAAACAACATTCTTGTTTTCACGCTGCCTCCCTTCTCGAGAGTATCTCGCCGATACATATTCATCGATACGCATTTCCATCGCGACGCAACGGTGTCGAAATTCGCGCACAAAAGAAGGAGAGCCAGCGGCGCGTCGCGCCGCTTCGCTTCGTCCAGCCATGCGTAAGCTCGTATCGATTTTAATTAAACTATAAATATGCATGGTCCTTTAACCGCGGAATGAAAATCTAAATTATCGCGTCGAATTATGCCGCGCAAGGTCGGACCCTCCGCGATTCGACCGTATCGTCGCGTATTGATCTGTGCGTGTGTGTGCGTTTTTAATACTTCGCAGTTTCATCGCAATAATTAGCGACAAAGTCGACGTTAATTTTTAATCTGCAGCCGAAACCGTATCGTGCGAGGGCGGCAAGTAGAGATTTCGTTCAGATTTAATCGGAGATATCAAAATTATGCACTGTTTTATTACATGTCAGGTGACGAAATAACAAACCGAGTCTTTCTAGCTTGATCAATATCTTTTAATTAAACAAACAGCCGCACGGAGGAAAATAATTTGGAGGGACAACAAAATTTATGTTGTCGTAGCAAACAATAAATAAATATACAGAATGTCTCTTGAGAACTATCTACTATATTTTACTATTTACTTATATTATACTTATATTATACTACTATAGTTTAGGAGTTGATTTTTGAAATCATTTAATAAAGAAAAATTCACATGAACATGTGTTCATTTTTTCATAAAATGACCTCAAAAATTAACTCTTAAAATATTGTTGTATTGTTTTCTCTGCACCGGGAAAATATTGTAATAAAAATTACTACAAAATTTTATAACGTTGGATCATATCGGAATTATGACTGAAATTATGA